GACGAACGACACTCCAGAGCCGATCTTTTCTCATTGCGAGTCCAGCGCGATGTTGTCGATCCTCCTCCTCCTGGGCAAAAAGGTGTCTCCTGGCATCCGCTGGCAGCAGCGGGCAGCACAGATCGTGTAGCACCCCGCAGTTGTGGATAAGAGTGAGGGGGCGGCGGGGACATCGACAGTCTGCGAGGCTCTGAAAAAAAGCCCGCCACAGGCGCCTAATTTCTTAAAATTATGCAGCGAGCCCGCCGCAGTTTTCTCGTTCAAATAATGTGGGTGGGTCGCAGGGTGGGTCGCAGGTGGGTCGCGGGTGGGTCACGGGTGGCGTCGCGGGCCGGGTCGCGGGTGGGTCGCGGGTGAGTCGCGTGGTGGGTCGCAGGTGGGTCGCGGGTCGCGGGTGGGTCGTGGGTCGGGTCGCGGGCGGGTCGCGGGCCAGGTCGCGGGTGGGGGGGTGGACGACGACAACAAACAACAACAAACAACAACAATCCGCGCCGTAATTAGAACCTCACATCAGCCACGCGCCCATGGACAGGGAAGGACCATTCGGCCCCCTCGCTCTGATCTCTGGGCCGCAGGTCAAAGAGTGACTGGGGAGTCGCCGTGCAGGCAGACTGCAGCCGGCGGCCTTGCTTCCCCATGCCATGGTGTGCCCTGCAGCTGCTGACCCGATTCCCACCCCAGGGGTCGGAGCGAACAGAAGACCGCGCGGACCTCCCTGAGCCTAAACGTCTATGCCCGTCTTGCTGTTTGATTCGTGGCGAGCCCGATCTTTTTTGAGTTCAGAAAGCAATCCTTTTTGAACTTTTGAATTCGAAGAACAATTTTTTTGAATTCAAGAACCGACCTTTTTTGAATTCAGAAAACAGCCCCCTGGGGGAGACATATGGCTCGAATTCGGAGGACTCTAACTTGCCTGACGGGGCCGTGAATGGGGAATTCAAGAGGTACCGATACCGCTACTCCACGGACCTCTCCCGGGGTGCGTTCGGACCGGAATTTCGAGGCGAATCCAGCGGTGGCGACGAGGGCCGCCCAGGAGGCCCAAGAGGAGGAAAACGATGGAAAGAACGCGGTATGGGTACATTTTCATCCTCCGAGCCAGAAAATGGCGGGGACCCGTGTCAAATCTCTCGCGGGCTCTGGCTGCACACATCTCACGACACCTGGACCGTCAGAAATTCAGGCCGGGGCCGTCAAACAGCGGTAGCAGATCCGAGTTCTGGCAGACTCGAGTCCTGCATACAGTGGAGGCCAGTCCACAAGAAACCTTCCACAAGAAACCTAAACCTGAGATCCCAGTGTGGGAACGTCACGCTTTCTATAGAAAGAACCATCGAAACCACGGGCACCCTGGAGGCAAGCAAGGTGTTTCTTGGCATGGGCCTCCACTGCAGGCTGGGCCACCCGGCTCCCCACATCGCGCCCCGCGATGCGCAGCGCGCGGTCATCCTGGCGTCCTCGCGAGGTCGCCTTTCGGAAAGGGCAGCGCTCCGGCCGAGGCCGCGACGCGCAGAGCGAGACCATGCTCGCGCCCTCAGGGGCTGGCCTAGCGAGGGGCAACGCCAAGGGGGGGGGGAGCGGCTCAGGGGGGGAAGCGTCGAGCTTGAGAGTCAAGCCTTGAATCGGCGATGCATCGCCGACAGATCGGCGAGAGGCCCGGGCTGTCGGCCCCCACCGGCGATCAGTGAGCGACTGTGGGTCGATGCCTTCCCCCCGGAGCCCGCCCGCTCCCCCCCGAGAGCGCTGCCCCCGCCCCGTCCTGCCTCTGCCCGAGGCCCTCCAGCCCCGGGGGGCGTAAGGACATCGGACTCCGAGGCAGGACGTCTGTAGCACTCTCTGCATCGCGACGCCTCCACCGTCGCGCACACCGCCGCGCCGCCGCGCCGCCCGCGGGCGGAGGAGGGGCAGGCGGAGGAGGAGCAGGAGGAAGAGTGATGGGCATGCAGGAGACAAGGCTGCGGAGGGGAACCACACCAATGCACGGACTCCACGCCATTTCGAGCGGACACAACATCCTTCTCAACATCGACCTGCCGTACTCAACGCTCAACGGAGGACGGTGTGGAAAGGGCTTCAGGCGCAAAGGGGGCCTGGTGGTTTTTGTGCGTGTTGTTTTTAATAAGAAAACCTATGCGAGTCTCTCTCTACGACTCCTTCTCTCTCTCTCTCTCTCATTATTTTCTCTATGTGTTTCCGTTTCTCTCTCTCTCTCTCTCTCCCTGTCTCTCTACATGTTTCCATTGTCCTGCGTCAAACCTGCGCCGATCCTTCTCCCACCTAGCCGAGAGCATTTGAAACCTTCACAACAGGAACCCTTTGGAAAGCACCACAAAGGGATTCCATGTGAAAGCCTCTCAACAGGAACCCTTTGAAAGGCACCACAAAGGAGTTCCATTGGAAAGCCTCTCAACAGGTCTTCATTTGGGAAGCGCTACAAAAGGATTCCATTTGAAAGCATCTCAACAGGATTCCTTTGGAAAGCACCACAGAGGGATTCTATTGGAACGCCTCACAATCGGAATCTGTTGGAAAGCGCCACAGAAGGATTCTATTGGAAAGCCTCTCA